GACCCAGATCCACCGGTAAATCAAGAACTTTGCTTTTGTGCTCAAGACCCAGAGATTCTTAAACTCCTCTACTTGGAGTGAGGCATCCCTGACCCGGAGTGGGCACTCTGTGGGCTCCCGGCTGAGGACCATGGCCTCAGATTTGGAGGTGCTGATTCTCATTCCCACTGATTCCCACTTGGCTGCAAACTGTTCCAGTGTGATCTGGAGGACATCACCTGATGAAGCCAACAGAACCACATTATGTGCGAAAAGCACAGATGAGGTTCTGAGACCACCCAAGTGGAGGCCTTCTGCCACTTGGCTACTCTTCGAAACTCTGTCCATAAAAATTCTGAAGAGAACTGGTGACAAAGAGCAGCCCTGGCAGAGTCCAACAACCACCAGTAACAAATCCGACTTTTTGCCAGCTGTGCGGACCAAGCTCTTGCAATGGTTGTATAAGGATCAAGTGGCTCAGTGAGCCAGACAGCCCATATTCCTGAAGCACCTCCCACAGAGCACTCTGAGGGATACAGCTGAATGCCTTCTCCAAGTCCACAAAAACATGTAGACTGGTAGGACAAACAAACCTGAGGTTTGACTAACAGACGGACTCTCCTTTACAGCACCAGGCACAGACTTTCCTGGGGAAGTTGAGGAGTGTGATCCCCCTATAGTTTACCCCTTCTTAAAGATGGGAACCACCCCCCTACAACATCCAGAGGGTTCAGGAACTGAGGGCAAACCTCATCCACCCAGGGGCCCTACCACCAAGGACTCATTTAACTGCTTCAGTGACCTTACCCCACCAATGATTGGTGAGCCGTTCCCTTTGTCCCCAGATTCTGCTTCCTCTATTGGACATACCAGTGGGATTAAGGCGGTCCTCGAAGTATTCCTTTCACCACAAGGCAATTTCCTCAGTCAAAGTCAACAGCAACCTGCACTACATGGTGCCATGTGCACTTATGGACACCCTTGCGTTCGAACATGGTCTTTGTAATGGACAAACTGGTTTGCACAGAAGTCCAGTAACAGAGCACCGCTGGGGTTCTGGATCCAGGCCTCACTGTCGTTGCCCACATGAGTGTTGAAGGCTCCTAGTAGGACACCTGGGGACAGTCTCCCATAAAGAGAACATAAGCAGAAAATGACTACAAACCATAATAAATCCCTTTGATGTTTGAATGCATTCAGATTTGTGAAATAAAAGCTTCCCTCAAAAGTAAAAACTAACAAGCCTGTTTTGAAAATGTAAAAGGAGTAAAAGACAATATATGACAGATATCTGAAGATTCAACAGAAAATAAAAAAGAATATTTATTTTATGTCCAAAACAAATGTGTCACCCTGTTCGTTGGTGTGATAGGAAGGATTACATCTTTGATTTTTGCTTCAGGGATCTACATTTGGCACAGTTACACAGAAAAACCTCATTTGTTTTGTAAATGACAGTAAATGAGATTTCAGCCCATTTTCTGATTGGTGCCGTATTAATAAGCTGATTTAAGCCGTTTAAATGCAGTCACCACATCTACATTTTCTGCATACTGATTAGTTTGCTCTTTTCTTCCACGTTGTGCAGTTTTCAGTCTTTTTTCCCTATGTACATTACAGATGCGGAGTAAAAATCCAAATCTTAAATCTTACCATCATGGTAGAATGACAGTACAGTTTCACTTTTAGGGTTTTACATATCAGGAGATAATTTCATGTTTAGGCTGTCCCACTTTAGTTCTAGTTCGTTTTGCCTCTGTGTCCATCTGCCTTTTGTTTTTTTACCAGCCTCTGATAAACGGCTCGCTGTTCGTTAAGTCATAGCTTTGCCTCCTTTTGGGTCCGCACCTGTAACTCCACACAGTCTGCAGCATCTGTCTCTGACAGCACTTATGGATCAGTGTGACGTCATCAGTGTGTCTCATGTCTGCAGAGTAGTTTTAGTTCACTCTCCTGCCCAGAGATGCTTCAGCTCATTGAGGTTTGCAGCATTCATTCATGCAAAGCGCTCTAAGCTCTGCAGCAGCTCGGTTTGTTTTACAGCTGTTCTGTTGGAGATTTGCTGCTGTGCTTGGATCTTTGTCCTGTTGATGACACAGTTTGGTCCAAGCTTTAGCTGTAAGACAGACATCCACTCAAAGCCCAAATCATCGTCCTTACACTGCCGTGCCCACAGTTCGTATGAGGTGTTTGGTTTCCTCCAAACGTGCTGCTGCTCATGATGGAGGAAACCCAAAATCCATGTTGGTCTTGCAACCTTTCCAAACCAGCCGCACTTGTTCAGTCTGTTTGTAATTGTGCTGTCGTGCAGCTCTTGGGTGTTCCTGTAAGCTTTGAACACGCTGACCTCTGGTTGAGTTTGCTGGATGTCCACGTTCAACATCAGAAAAATGCCATTGCCATTCCATTCCAACCATTCCATCGTTGTACCAACAAGGAAGAGAACGCTAACCACAAACTGGCTGAGCAGGTTTACTGTATGCGCATCAAAATAAATCTCCTAAATCAGTCTGTCACCGCTGCAGACACCAACCACGGTCTTTTATGGTTTGGTTCCTGCAAGCCATGTAAAATAAATCTGTTTCCAGCACTGCGTGGAGCACATGTTTCAGGATTTTGAGCTTCAAACAAATGTTTCACAATAAAAACAACAGCAGGACAAGAGACATAGACACAGGACACAGAAATAACCAATCACAGTTCAGTTTAGCACGTAGGTCTTTTTAAACTTTTTATCATTTGCTATATAACGTTTGTCTAATCAGTAAATCAGGATAAAAGTTGTAAATGTACTTACGAGCTAGTGTGTCGGCCATGTTTGTTAAAAAGCTTTGCACTGCTGCTCTGTGCTGTACCGACCGGATTGGTCCTTCCTTTAATACAACTGTATCTAATGCAACAACAACACTTAGTTAAAGATGCTGCAGGGCAGGTTCCAAAGAGAAACCCGCTGTCATTGGCCAGCCACACAGTGATGTCACAGCATAAACAACCTGAAGTCCCAGAATGACGCTGAGCCTGAAATTTCTCTTTTAGAGGAAATCTTACCCTGGTATCAGACAGACAGCAGGTCACGCCACGGGAAATCCATCAGCCCCACCTGACCCCTCAACATCACAGATTCTGGCCATATAACCTAAGGTATGTTTCATGGAGCCATGCAAAATTCATGTTCATGCAGGAAGGTATCTTCTCTGTTTTATTCCAGGAAGAGGAGCAGATAGAAGGCAAGGTTAGACATGAACAGAGAGAGGAGAAGATCCGGCAGGACTGCCACGTCGCTTCCAGAAGAATATAACAATAGTAGTCATAATAATACTTCTTTTTCTTGTAGCATAAAACTGTAGGGCCTGCTGCAGGGTCATCCTTCGTGTGAAGCAGACGGCTGATTTCCAGTGATGGGAATAACAGCGTTACTAACGGCGTTACTTTTTTCAGTAACGAGTAATCTAACTAATTACTATTCCTATCGTTACAACACCGTTACCGTTACTAACAAGAAAATGCGGTCTGTTACTGTTTTTCAACAGACGGCTGAAGCTGTGTTCAGCTCACTGCAGCTTATATCAGCTGCAGGAAGTAGCTGTAAGAATCAGGACGCTGCAGCTTTAAGCAGCTGCGCTCCCGCGGACGGTAACCATCACTGTCTGGCACAACAGCTGGAGCTCAGGGGGCAAAACAATCGCACGAGTGCTGCTGTTTGACTGAGGAAGAATAAAGGAGTCGTGGTCAATCACATGACCACTTACAGACAAAGCAACAAAGTTTATAAACTGTGTTGATCGGACACGTAACACCAGAGTCATGATAAACAATATACACGAGTGTTTTTTCCTCAATACTTTCACGTTTACTGTCTAAGGACAGCGAGACCGCTCTGCTTATGAGCAAACAAAAAAAAGTCAAAAATGAAACAACCGTTTTGTGTTGGTGGAAAAATGCACCATGTTGACCAATCAAAAAATTATATGGCAACATGACGTTTGGTTGTTTAGGAAGAGGCGGAAGTTTTAGGAGAGAGAGAGAGAGAGTTTTTTGGATGTGAGAGATTTGTGACGTTTAGCGTGTTTGGAGTGTGTAGTTAATGTGTTGTCTTGTGTAGTGTATTGTGTTTAGTGTGTAGTTAGTGTGTTGTGGACAGTTTTGTGTTGTGTGTCAGAACAATGAGGCGACTGCCGTCTCCAGGTAGAAACAGCAGTGACACACCTGCTGCTGTCAGACCTGCAGGTATCAGGCTGTGATGTTTCCTTGATAGTGGACAGAAATTATTTTTTTGGAGTGGGAGAAATAATTTGTGGCATCTTGTTGAAGAACAGCTGATTGTTCTGTAAATAGTTTGAAATGGTTATTTAAAAAAGAGTAAAGGTTAAATGGATGCAAATAACTTTGTTGTTTGCAAAACGTGTGCATATAAATTAAAATTGAGAATTTATATTTGCATCTAAAGTTATGAAATATGGTCATTAAACATGTTTGTGGTTGTTACAGTAAAACTATAACTTTTTTGATTTTATGTTTTTTGTCTGATTTTAGATCAGTTGTGTTAATACAGTATGTCAAAATGAAAACATGACTGTAAATTCAGACACGTAAGGTTGTGCTGAAAACAATGAGACCAAACAAGGTAAATAGTTTTTAAAGGTGAAATGTGGAGGAAACATCAAAAGTAGGTAAAAATGGCCGATTATACCCGGGACCCCAGAGGGTTAAATGTTTTTTTTCTAAGTAACGCAATAGTTACTTTTCAAGTAATTAATTACTTTTAGAATCTTGTGACTCAGTTACTAACTCAGTTACTTTTTTTGAAGAAGTAACTAGTAACTATAATTAATTACTTTTTCAAAGTAACTTGCCCAACACTGCTGATTTTACACTGAGGTCCTGTAAACTTGCAACTGCTGAAGCAAATGAAATCTTTTAAACGAAGGATCAATCAACCAATTATATCAAAATTAAATGGGAGACGGAGGCTAAAATCAACATATCAGAGGACAGTTGGTTAAATATATGCAGGACACAGATGGAAACTACCAGCTCAGGTTATTGGAGGGAATTCACGTGGAAAAATTTTATTAGGTGTTTTTATAAAACCCAAAATAAAATACAAACAAAAATGTCAACTGACAGATGGACACTGCTGGAGAAACTGTGGGGAAAACATGGCAGATCATTTCCATATATTTTGGAAAAGCCCAATAATCCTGTCATACTGGAGTGAATTGGTCGAATCAATTTACTTGGTGACTGGTCTCAAACTAAATTTGGATTTTTGTACTGTGTACTTGGGCGATATCCCATCAGCAGCCTCCTTAAAAGACAAACACTTGATAAACATCCTGTTGGGAGCTGGCAAAAAAGCGCTTACCAGGAGGTGGCTGGAGAAAGAGCCTCCAACAAAGAAAGATTGGATAGGAATAATGGAGGAAATATATAGAATGGAAAAACTTCCTTTTTTTTTTAACCTCAAAATGGACCAATTTCATAAAAACTGGAGGAAGTGGGAGAAATTTGTTGAAGGTGGTAACGTGGGATGAGATCTTCACGCAACTACTGGAAGAAGGAAGGTCTGCTAAGGACGTTTTATTTTATTTATTTTAAGGTAGTTTTTAAAAGAGACTGGAAATACCCTTCCGAATATGGACTGGGATGGACTGTAAAGTGCTGAGTGGACAGTAGTAAAAACCTAACGACATGGGACCTGTAAAGAGGTGGAGGGGAGCTCCCCCAGACCGAGCAGATCTGCGGATTTCACTGAGCCACTATGTTATTGTTAGTGTGTAGTATCTTTGTTTGTTTGGTTGGTTTTTTGTTTTGTTATTTTTGGGGTTTTTTGTTTGTGTGTATTGCTAAATTAAAGTACCTTTTTATAAAAGAGCTTATGAGGTTCTCAGTGGCAGAATATAATCTGCAATAAGACGTTATTTTTTAGCAAAGCCAAAGGAAAATAAGAAGGTGCAACAACCTGCACAGAAATGAACATTTGTGAGATATATAATGAATTTTGATTCTACAAACTTTTCCCTTCCTATTTTTTTTGTTATCATATCAAAGCTGAATGATACAGGGCTGGCGGTCCATAAAGATGACAGAGGCTCAAATTTTGTATCTCTATATGTAATCATGGGAAAAGAGGGATTTGTGTTTGGTCTAAACACACCATGAGAGTGAAGCGATGATCATGAGTTGTTTGTTTGTTTGTTTTTTTACTGTTTTTGTTTTTCTTTTCATGTGGATGACTGTCATAATTACAAAACTTTCAATTAAAAAAAAAAATTAAAAAAAAAAAATCTTTTAAACGACACGTTTCTCGTGTTCTTCCTCAAGAGAACAAAACTGAACACGTCACTTTGCTTCGGAATGAAGCAACAACGAAACCGCTGCCAGATCCCAAATATGAATAGACCGTAATGCTCAGGCAGAAAACCTCAGGCCTGTTATAAGAGCTCAGGCGCCAGAGTCACCTCCATCTACTCTGGGAAACTGTTGGTTACATTAGTATAGTACAGGTTATATAGATGTTGAGGGTCTGTTTGATAACCAGACTCATTTATTATCATGTTACTAAATATTTAGGCTGTGACATCACTGTGTAACCAGCCAATGACAGTTTCTCTCTGGAATCTGCCCTGCAGCATCTAAGCGTTGTTGTGACATGCACATTGTTGCATGCAGTAGAATTAAAACCAGGAACTCATTTTTGATTCACAGCCAGGGTTGAATATCCCCTAACAGTGACACATTGGGACTGCAGGTTATTCACACTGTGGCTGTGTGGTTGGTGAACCAATGAAAGCTCTCTTCTGTCTGCAGTCTGCCCTGCAGCAACTTTAACAAGTGCCTTAAGGTGACGGCGTCCTCGGCGTACAGCACAGAGCAGCAGCAGGAAGGTGTCGGTGCAAAGCTTTGTAATCCTGAGCAGCAGAAACATGGCCGGCACCAAAGCTCGTAAGTACATTTAAAACTTTTGATTTACTGTTTAGACCAACTTTCTATCATAAAATACAATCTAGATGAAAAGTAAAAAAACAAACAAACCAAGAGCTACATGTTAAACTGAACTGTGATTGGTTATTTCTGTGTCCTGTGTAGGGCTGGGTATCGTCACTGATTTCTAGAATCGATTCAATTCCGATTCACAAGGTCCCGAATCGATTCGATCCACGATTCGATTTAATTCGATTCGATTTGAATCTGGGAAATTTTGACAGTCAGAAATATTATAATTCAGATCGGTACATTTACATATTTTTGTATCTATAAAAAGGAAGCTGACACACGCAAGACTTTATCACAGGTGTGAGCATCACAGCGAGGCCTTTGTGTAAAAGCAGCTGAAGATAAAACAGAAAAACATGAAGGAGATTTTCCTGTTCTGGGATTTTATAAAAATATTCTGCAGCACATCAAAAACGAAAGAAAACCATTAATCAACATATGAACATCACCTCTGACGTTACAGCGGTTTTATTAGAGACACAGCGTTTTGCATTTTGCATAATTTTAAAGTCTAAATTTGTTCAGTATTGAACGGCAGAAATTAGGTTTTATTTTCGGAAGAATGTAAAAAAAAAAAAAAACAGCGGCCGACAGCCTGTAAACAACAGTAGACTGGTGCGTAACAAGCAAGCGAATAATGAAGAAAGGGAAACTGTTCTTGAAGTACAGAGAGAGAGAGCTGTGCATCGCGGTGGAAGCAAAACAGCAAAAGTCAGAGTGAATCCATGACGATGTTTATGTGAAGCAT